AGCAGAATCAGAGTTCCGTCATATAGAAGAATTATTAAACAAAGAACTGGTAAAACAAGTTCAGACAGCTCTTGGTTACATGGAAAATAAACAATATGAGAAGGACCCTTGGTTATGGAACCTTGATTGGTCAGTACCTAAAGGAAGAGTAAAGAAATTACCTGGTTATCCAAATTGGTACAGAAAGCTCTGTGCTCGTACTGGTGAAAGAGAGGGCACCCCTGAACCAGAAAACATGAGCACAGGTCTTCAGGTTGTACCAAAGTTACTAAGACTCACTTGGGATGGCCTTCCACTTCATTATGAAAGGCATTATGGGTGGGGTTACCTGAAACCACTATACAATAGCATTAACGAGATACCCCAGTCTAAAATTCCTCCAGTTGATAATAATACTATTAAAGATTCACCATGTTTTCCTATTAAGGCATTGTATGAAATGTGTTCTGGTAAGAAAGAATATCCTGAGGACCAAACAGAACTCTCTGAAACAGATAATTATAGCTTGTTAGTTAATGAAGAAGACTGGGAGTTATGTTCTTCTCAAAATCAGACTAAGAATGTTAAAACACCCAAACAAGAAAGTAAGCAGGAAGAGAGGTTAAGGGATATTGGTATTCCTGGTGTGGCTTTTGTTCCACTACCACACAAAGATGGTGCCTCAAATCGTGTTGGAAACCCTTTAGCTAAAGATTTCTTGAATAAAATTGAGGACAAGACATTAAGCAGCCACTTTGGAGATCTTGCAGAGCTTGTATTGAAGACCACTAAAACCTTGTCTTATTGGAAGAATAACCGAGATCGTATAAAGTCCCAGATGGTTGTCTGGCACGACCATCACATTCTGCCTCCGTCTGTTACTTCAGCAGGTATGGGGTTCCACAATTTAGTACATGTACTTTTTTTTTCACTTTACTCAACAGGGAAATGTCTAAAATATTCAAAATTTTAAAACCAGTTATTTCTTTATTTACTATAGCAGAAGCAAATATCAATGGTACAGTGATTAACTTTGCAATAACATATTTTCTAACTTACTGGAAATTATTAGTGTTGCTAATATGTCCTGATGCATAAAAGCAATCTAGCTGCCAGTATTTAAAGTTTCCTTGTAGTCAGACTGGAAAACACAGTGTGACAATACATGAGCTATCTGGTTATAGAATGATATTTTGAATATCAATCCTCCAGTTTTTCCAGTACAGTAAAGAAATTTCTTCAACAAAAACTTTTCACCAATAAAAAACTTTCCCCATATTTCATTGTCTGTCCAGTATTATATTAAGTATATATTTTTGAGTGTATTGTGTGGCTGTTATAATATTCCAGTTTTGAACTTCAAACACTCTTTGGACAGATGGCTATCAAAAGACTGGCAAATATGGAGTGATTGTGCCTATGGTAGTCACTGCAGGGACTATTACTAGACGTGCTGTTGAGCGCACGTGGATGACTGCCTCCAATGCCTATAGTGATCGTATTGGCTCAGAACTCAAGGCTATGGTTGAAGCACCTCCAGGTAATGTTTTTTATATTTTGTAAAACAGTTCAGTATAGATTAATCTTAGAATCAAAGCTACAAATGTCATTTGCCTAGCGTGTAATATTCTCTTGTCTAGAACAGTTGAGAATGAGAAGTAATGAAGATTTGGCTTACAAAATTCAAATGCTACATATTTTTCATAAATCTATCTCTTCCTTATGGTATATCCTAATTATAGAATGAACAGGCAGATTTATTCAAGTTAGGTGCTCACAACAACCTGTGGAATATGGATCATATAATATTTACTTTAAGTTCAGCACTGAATATTTCTGGATGATGTTAGGGGTAAAAGGTTCAGGATAAATATTGAAATGATGAATTTTTATAATTGATCACACTAGCAAGGCTGGAGAAACTCAATATTAGGGATATGTCCCTGGACTGTGTCAATAAGTTTTATTACCTGGGTGACAGTTTGTCTAAATAGAGTTTTAGAATTTCATATACAGGGTAATTTATCAGTTATTTACTTTTTTCTCGTTCTGTAACTCACATTGTAATGTGAGTTACTTTCAGTCTGTTACTCTTCTATCTTACATGTTATCTTTCATTACTAATACCAATCCTCTGTGATCTGAGATACAGGTAAAGTAGCTAAAACAACTATCTGTGCAGGTGGGGTGACAAGTGACTGCTCTCATATACCAAAATTTATCATCCATGGTCTCATATTGTTTCCCACAGAGTATCCACAGATAGTTGTTTTAGCTACAGTACAATATATGTGAAAGTTAATTCAGCTTTTCAGAAGATTTAGAAAAGAAATACAGTTAACGAGGAAACTATTAAATTTAATTACTGGTACAATAAAGGCTTCCTATTAGCCCTGTGTGACTTACTCTTATTGTTGATCAGGTTTGTTATCAACACAAAGTTAACTAACCAATATCAAGTTTTTAGTGCAGTACTGTATAGGAAGTTATGCAGCTATCTTTTACAGGTTATAAATTTGTTGGAGCTGATGTAGACTCTCAGGAACTATGGATTGCTGCGGTTCTTGGTGATGCTTACTTCTCTGGTGAACATGGAGCCACAGCTTTGGGCTGGATGACGTTACAGGGTAAAAAGAGTGATGGGACAGACTTGCATAGCCACACAGCAAGGAATGCAGGGATATCACGAGACCATGCCAAGGTTAGTAGCATATTAGTCTCTCTCTCTCTGTCTGTTTCTGATGTAAAGGTATGTAAACTTTTTGAGAATTAAATTTTTTTTTTTAAAGAGTTTATTGTACACATTTTTATATGTTTCCTGGGTCAGGTTTTATGATTACAACAAGAGAATTTGATGTATTGTCTGAAAATTATTATCTAAAATGTTTTGCTGTATAAGGTAGTTAAGGTGCCATGGTGTTTTTGTTAAGGTTATCAATTATGGACGAATTTATGGGGCTGGTCTCCGCTTCACTCAACGTCTCCTGAAGCAGTTTAACCCAAAGATGTCCGATGCAGAAATTAAGGAACGTGCTGAAAATTTATTTGCTACTACCAAAGGACAAAAAGGATGGTGCCTTAATCAGCAAGGAGAAGAACAAGCCATTGACATGAATTATCCTTTTACTGGAGAACCATTATCTCGCAAACAGGTAATATAGACTTTAAGGATTGTTGAACTGTGTATCTTTAACTTTGACAGAAAAAGCGAGAAAAGACTTTAACCCTTAAATGACAGTGAACATAAATAGATGATGAGCACCTTTTGTCCCGCAATGATGGTGATCATCCTTATAATCAGAATCTTTCCACACCATAATTTTTAAGTATGGCCCCTGATTTATGCTCGAGTGAATTACTGTACAGTATTGTGATTCAAGACCACTTTTCCTTCCACATGTCATGGAGGAGGTACAGTAGTTGTCATTTCCAGTGACACACTGAGCAGAAAGATCCCTCACCAAAGTAGTGTTGCCCTGACATCGAAAAAAAAATATATATACAGTATATATTATGGGAATCAAGAGTGAGGCTGAGATTGAAGAAGTGGAAGATTCACCAAGTGAATTCAGAAATGATATCTCGTGCAAAAAAGATAAAGGAAATTATTATAAGGTCAAAACATAAATGGAATGAATAAACTTTTCTTTATATACTAGAGTTAGCATGCTGATCAGTGGAGGGGATGTCAGCAGAGTATGGGAGCACCATTGCTATGGGTAGACAAGTGTCAAGGGGAGGCAGCCAGCATTCCTGAGACTGCGATACAGTGTGTACATTAACTTGTATATTTTTTTTATTTGATTATTGCTGTTTACAGTTTATCCTTTCATTGTTGCTGTTTATATGCTTACAATTTAAGTTTTGATGTTACAGTGTACAGTACAGATAATGCTAGTACTGTATTAGGTGTAAATCTAGCTAAATTTAAAAAATTTGAGTTGATAACTGGTGGGAATTCAGTTTCAGAATTGGTAATACTGTTCATAGGATCAGCTGTTGTGGTGGTGATCAAGGTCAAAACATGTTGGTGAGAATCTGGTGTCTTTTTACAAAATATGTCTAGGATTATACCTACCGTAGTATTTCTGAAAATCAGGGTCGGATAATACATGAGATAGGCTTATACATGAGTACAGTATACAGGAATACCCCAGTTATTGCAAGGGATGCATTCCTAAAAGTTATTGTGTATAACTAATTAGTGAATATCAGGGCAATTTTCTCCCTAAGAATTAATGTAAATAGGGGGGATGTGTTCCCAGCCAGCAACTTTCAACACATTTTCTCAATATACAGTACAGTACACTCCTCATTATCAGAGGCTTTTAGGGACCAGAGTAGTGTGTATACTGTAGTACCAGTAAATGTGAAGAACGAATAAAAATAATGCTAATAAATAAAAGAAAAGAAAAAGATATCGCATTGCCAGCTAGCAATGGTTTCACTACACGCAGGAGACTGGAATGACTGAGTTGTCCAACACTACTCCCTCGGTCCCTCCACTCACAATCCTTGGAGTTAGTAACATGCATGTAAGGAATCTTTATTTCATTTGTTTTTGATCTTATGATAATAATTGTTTGTTTTTTGGACATTCTCTATGCATGTAACAGTAAAAAAGTTGTTAAAAAAAATTACGCTTATCAACTTGAAATTACAAGTTAAAAATACTGTATAACAATAATGCAGCTCACAGCTTGGCCCAGTAGGGAGAGGATGAGAAAGAATTTATTAAAAATATGTATATCTACTCAAAATTACAAGTTGAAAAATAACAATAACACTGCATTGCCTGGTAGGAGGAGAGGTAGGCGGACATGCCTTAAGGAATAATTAATTTGGCGACCTGTCAAGTCCACACACATGTTCATCTCCCACACATACACACCTATGCTCTTCAAGTTTTCATATTTCTTATTTTATAGCATATTGTTTTATACTAAGTACACTCCATACAATATAATAAAATAACTACAATAATATAAAAACAATACAAATGAACATAGTGTGTGTGTGTGTGTGTGTGAACATTTTAAACTAGCATTTACCATTGCCATATGAGAAATTCTAGAATGTTTGGAGTATTTTTTCACTCTGTGGGTTGGAAGTACAGGTGTGGGGTGAGCATCTTCCACATGTGAATTTTAACTCGCATGCTTCATATGAATGGTCCAATTGAACTTCATTGATTTCTAAACCGCATGAGACAGTATGCGTGGAACAAAAACGCTCGTGTAAAGTGGGCCTTGCCTTCGGAATGTGAGAGCTGTGGCTAGCCCGCCCAGTTTGATATATTACTGTAAGGTAGTATTGTAATTTTTAATTTGTGAATAAGCGGGGTATGCTTTGTGAATATCAAATAGGGGTGGTAAAATATCAATTGCGGATAAATGGAGTTGCGAGTAGCGAGGTATTTCTGTATACTGTAATACACTTATCAGAGTAAATAGTCAATTTATACAACTCACCGTCATTTAAGGGTTAAAGTGATTTTGTTTTAATTTTACCTGTAATGTGAGTTTTATGGCATCCTGCCTTTCTCTAGGTTTCTTAAATACAACAGGTCAAAACCACAGGCTTTTGGTTGTGGTGGGGATTTAGAAATTTATTATAATCAATAATTGTCTTATCCTTTTGACCTTCACCTTCACACAAGGGTCCTGAAGGATATCCATTTGTTAAGAAGGTATTCTAAAATATGAGAAGACTTAAGCATAATGCAGAACCCATAGCTGGTAGGCAACAGTCACCTAGAAAAGGTGTCAGTCATAAAATATTTGAACATCTTGTCTGGCCATATTTCACAAATATGTCTGTACTCCATCTGTGATTGGCTTTGTTTCTTGATTAAAAATCTTTAATTTTGTTCTTCTAAAACCAATGATCACATTTAGCTTGTATTTTTAGTGGAATAAATTAATTTTTTTGTCTAAAATGACTATGCTAAGATGGCCACCATTGCTGAAAGCTGAAAATGCTTTTAATGTTCTAATATCTAAAACTACCAGTGAGATGTACCTGAAAATTTGTGGAAATATTCATTTGATCATCTTTCAAGAATGTATCTGATATGGCAGTACACTGTCTTTGGGTGAATGACTTATGGGGCCTTGGGTGTCTTGTTTAGGGGAAAGGTATGCCTAATATTTTAATGAATCCCCAGGCCTTATTTTCATTGGCCACACTGGACAGTAGCCCCTTAGATTTAGCTGACATAGTGAGGCAATGCCACTAGTCGGGTTTCAATTAGCAAATGAGACCTCGGGATTAATCCATCCTTTCTTTTTTGCAAAACAAGTTAATTTTTAGTTGAATATTTATTTATATTGCCGTATAATCTCCATATAATTTCCTTTCATTTGTCTTTATTGCCCTCTTGTTTCCAATTGTACAAATTTTGTTTCTTTATTATATCCTTGCCTAAATTTATTAATTGTTTTTATTGTTTCTCTCACACCCTTTTGTTCTGTTTGAAACATCTTTGTTCACTTCATAAAGCTCCTTGTATAGTACAATATTTCTGAGCCTATATATACTGTGCTGTAATACACTAAAATTCTAATAACCATTATTCCATTTTTAGCAAGTTCTATTTCAAAGATCATGTGCACAATTTCTTTATCACACAGTGTACGGTCTAGGCTTTTTCTTCATACAAGATTTATTAGTTGTTTTCATTCTTAGATAAACAGATTGTTGTGGGAAGCCAGAAAGAACAACATCGAAGCCACTTTTGATGATGTTGTTGAAAGGCCGCCTGTATGGATCGGAGGTTCAGAATCTCACATGTTCAACTGTTTGGAGGCTATAGCCAGGTGTGAGGAGCCCAGAACGCCAGTGCTCGGAGCTAGAATAACACGACCTCTTGAACCGTATTATGTTGATGACCAATTCATGACGAGCCGAGTGAACTGGGTTGTGCAGAGCTCAGGTGAGTTAAATTACAAAGGAATATATTTTTACATGCCCATAGATTTTCACGTGATCCAGAATGTGATAATCTCCATCATCTGCTTGTTAATTTTAGTTTCCTCACAATAAATTCAGCATTATAATATGGATTCTTTTCATATTTTATGACAAGGGTGCTCAACCCACTGTTTGAGGGCCGCATGCGGACCTCAAACAGTGGGTTTAATTGGAAACCTCAGTACTAGAAGAAATATAATTAATTTTACTGCATATTTTATAGAAATTAAATATAAACAAATACTATTTCTGTAACAGTTGTTCTGATCATGATTCCTTCTTTCAGTTTACAATACATGGTTAATACAGTACTTAATAATCAGTGTTATTATCGTGTAAATTATTTACGGTGCTTATTCACATTAAAACACTTGCCTATCTAATGTGGCTAACTCATGCAAAAATGTTGAGCACCACTGAGTCTAGGGCCAAAAATCTTGACTTTGAGATTTTTTTGAAAATCTCAGTATAGATACTCCTGAGCATGCTGATTCTGAATATATGGTCCATGATTGGGATTACGGCATAATTAGTGATCGTAGTGACGCTTGGAAGATTTAAATTACATTACTGTATTTCAGTGCTAATTACTCGCCAACTATGGGATTCCGAGGTGTGATTTTGGTGTTAATGTGTTATTCTGTAAATGCTTTATTAGATAAACCCCTTAAATTTTGGTCAAAAAATTTCTAAGGTGTATGGGTTATGTTTTCGACAGTTTTGGCCCAAAATTAGATTTTGTTGAAAATCACATTATAGGTACTCATGAGCATGCTGATATCGAGTATATGGTCCTTGATTCGATTGAGGGGTAATTAGTGGTAGTAATGACACTTGGTATATTTTAGTTCTATTATTTCATTGCTAATTTCTCACCAACTATGGGATTCCCAGGTGCAATTTTGGTGTTAATGTGTTATTCTGGAAGTTTTTAGTTAATAAACCCTTTAAATTCCATTTCCAATGGGAAAGTATATTTTGGTCGAAAATTTACCAAGGTATAATGCTTAATATTTTGGCAGTTTTGGCCAAAAAATTAAATCTTGTGAAAATCTTAGTACAGTATTGGTACTCCTGAGCATGCCGATTCTTAATCTATGGTCCATGATTCGATTGCAGGGTAATTAGTGGTTGTAATGACACTTGGAGTATTTTAATAAAAAAAATTCATTTGGGTTTCAGAGGACTGATTAGTTACGGTAAATCCCTTAAATTGAAATTCAAAGAAAAAAGTATATTTTGGTCGAGATATTTTCAAGCAGGGCTGCCCAGGTTACTGTTTGAGGCCTGCATTTGGTCCCCAGGGGTTTAGTGCAGACCTCAGCAACTAGTAGAAATAAAATTAATTTTGCTGCATATTTAATAAAAATTAAATTATAAGAAATACTATTTCGGGAAGGATCTGATTATGAGTCCTTCATTAAATTTACAATACATGGTTAATACTTAATAATTAATCAATGTTATTAATGTGTATATATTATTTCCTATGCTTATTCACATTCAGGTGAATGTGCAGCCCACGTAACACAGTTACCCATTTAATACGGCCTACTCATGCAAGAAAGGTTGAACACTACAGTTTATTCAATTATTCATATTGACATATAATCTTCCTCTAATTTCCTTTCATTAGTATTGTTTCCATTTGTGCAAATTTTGTTTCTTTATTATATCCTTGACTACATTAGTTAGTTGTTTTTAGTGGGGGGTTTTCACACGGTTGTACTGTGCCAATAAAATTTACGAGAAGACAGTCACCCAGCTGTAGGTTTAGTACATATATTTTATGGTGTGATTTTAAGTTTTAAGTTGTTTGTCTTCATTAAAGTGTAATCATTTCTTGTTTTATTTGGCAGCTGTGGACTATCTTCACATAATGTTAGTGTGTATGAGATGGCTGTTTACAAAGTACAAAATCTCAGGACGTTTCTGCATTAGTATCCATGATGAGGTGAGTGTGTTGGAAAGAATAAATAATAAGCTTCATCTTAGCATATTGTATATCATATGGGCTTACACCCAACCCTTTCAGATTACTTTGTGATATTTCATGTCTTATATTGCATTATGGATGTACTCTTTACTAAGTCTTATTACAGTACTGTACTGGCAAAACATTTCTTCTGATATAGTATGACCTTTAAATAAGTTACCCACATCAGCGGGTACGTCCAAGTAGTGTTATGTGTAACTATCTCTTGTCACAAGCTGACTGTGTAAGCAAGCATTTCTGCAGAATAGCTACGGTGCTCATACATAACATGAATATTTTATTATGACATAATTTTAGAGCTGCTATGTTTTGGAAGAATTAAAGTAAAAGATCAAGGTCTTAGCTGTGAAACATGTATCACTCAAGTGTGAGTTGGCACCTATCTCTAGTACAGTAGAATAATACTTACTTTGAAGCTTTTAGTTTCAGAATCAGACCTTAGCTCTAACCACTTTCTCCCTTGATGTGGTCCTACCTAACTGCCACTATAGGGAGACCTAAGTGCACTCACCTCCTTTTATTGCTGCACTTGGGATAATTTTTTCATGACTTAACATATTCACTACAGGGATGCCACTTTTGATATTTTATTTGGCTAACACCAGAGGATTTTATTCAGTACAGAGGGGACCCCATACAGAAGAGGCTAAACCACACTGTCTGTGTTTGTGTTCTCATTACTGTTTGGCATTTTCTGGTTTGACCACTTGTGTTATGGGGTTCCCTATGTGCTGAATAAAATCCTCTGGTGTCAGCCAAATAAAATATTAAAAAGTTATGTTCCTGTAGGTTAATGCTTATCATCTGACAGCTCATGTAATATAAAATGGCCTTGCTAGGGGTCCATTAATCTTTAGACAGAGCCCTACTATGTTAGCCAGGGAATTTTTTTTTATCCAAACAGACACGGCCTGTTATTGAAATGTCTTGTACAGTGGTAAAGCCCCCTCCCAGGGAAGGTTTGAAATTGGCTAGTGGCTGTCGGGGACATATGACCTAAGCTGTTGTGTCACCAGGGAATTAATTACCACAATCAATCAATCAGCTAGATGCTGACCAATCAGTTCTCATTATGTCATAGATAAAGGATTTTAGAATTAAAGATAAACTAAATCTTCTGTCCATTCCAGGTTCGTTACATGGTATCTTCAGAAGATTGTTACAGAGCTGCTCTAGCACTTCAGATCACGAACCTTCTCACACGGTCACTCTTTGCACTCAGGTTGGTGTATACAGGTGTTATGTTTTCTTGATTAGCAAGCATGAAAAACAGATAAGGTTCTTGTTTTGTTTTGTTTTTTGGCTAGTGATTTAGGGTAGCCAGATTAAAAAACAAGACCTTGCTCTTTATTTTTTTAAAGAAAAATATAGAGGTCAGACTCCTAGAGCTTAAATGCCTGAGCAGGCATTAGGGGCATTGCATCCATACTCAAAAAGCACTATATAATTAAAGGTTTGGTTATAGGAGTAAATAACAAACAAAAAAATCAGATTACTACATTACAATATTGTCTTGAAAATTACTATAAATATATTGTATCTGATTTTTTAATAACAACATGACATCAATAGATGCCTAAATTGGAGTCAAGTTCCAAGGAAAAGGTAGGTCACTCCATAATTCCTAAACAATTATAGATCTGGCACTTGAAAGATGTACGAGGTCTATCCGGAAAGTATCCAGCCATTGTGAATATTGTGAGAACTGGTCGCGCGGCCTTGATGTAACCTGGCAGCCACTCAGAGAGGACCGTACTGCGCATGCGTGAACAGCTGCACTCCCGTGGGACAACTCAGTTGCCCGGCAGACACCGTTGAATGAGCGTGGGTACTGTGTGACCGTTGCATTTACAATAACCAAACAATAACGAAGGAGTACTACATCGAAGTTCTTCACCGGCTGAGGGATGCGGTAAGAAGAAAACGACCACAGCTGTGGGCAAGTGGTGACTGGCAGCTTCATCATGACAACGCGCCTGCCCATTCTTCACGTCTCGTGCAGGGTTTTTTGACAAAACATTGAATCACCCAGGTCTCTCAGCCCCCCTACAGCCCAGATTTGGCTCCCTGCGACTTCTGGCTTTTCTCAAAGCTAAAATCGTTGTTGAAAGGGAGGAGATTTCAGACTGCGGACGAGATTAAGGAGAATGCGACGAGGCAGCTGATGAAGATCCCGAAAGAGGACTTTGCAGACTGTTTTGAAAAGTAGAAGGGACGCTGGGAGAAGTATGTGTAGTAGGGGGCAGGGAAAAAACACTTTTATTTGAGTTGCAGGCTGCACTTTTCAGGCATCGTTTGTATGGCTATAACAAACACCTGTACAAAATTTCATGCCATTTCATGCATACTTACCCTGCCGCATCGCGAACGACTTTTTGTCAACTTTTAGTGTATACCAAAAATTAGGTGTCATTTAATGTTTTCCAGGATAATGATAAATTTTACATGGGTGACATCGATTTAATTCACATGTTATTTTACAGGTACACCGTATAGAAAATCATTACAAGTTCATATTGAAATTCTTTTTTGTGCGGAACCTTGGCATCATTTTCCTAGACAATAATCTTTGCCTAATATATCCATCTCTCGATTCGTATCCCGTCACTTCAGTGCAAGCTTCAGTCATCACTTTTATGCCTCTCTCGACCGCCTGAGTGCTGTTTGGCCACTTGGGCACCACTAATGGTGTCTCAAGAATGTCATTAACCTGTAGATTTGACAGAGAAGCAATGTAAGGAGGCTCAGTCTTGAGTTCATTCCTCCAGTTAATCATGGAATGATAGTTTTTTGCTTGCCACTTTAGTTTCGGAGTCACCACCTTTCTCATGTTGACTACAGGAGGCACATCCTCATTCCCATCTCCATCTTTACCCTCCTCATCAGTATAGTTTAACAAATTCTCGTCAACAGCAGCATCAGAATCTTCCTCCTCTTCTTCAGATCTGCCAGTGCATTCTTCCTTTTGCTGATTCTCCTCTCTAATTTTTCTTATCATTGAGACAGCTTTTTCTCTAACAGTCATGTCCTCATCTGCACACATACCAAGAAGAAGTTGATCTGTGTGGGCGAAGTATGCATTTCTCTGGACAGCCTTCTTCACTATCGTCTCCTCCTCACTATTCAGGTGTTTCATATATAGCAGGGACTGGAATACGTTCCTTGAGCCGTGTGTTACGTAAGGGTGTATCTTGATGTAAAACCACATTGGAGCACTGAACTTTATTATTGTAATGACAATTCTTTTCAACTCATGGCTGGGTCTTGATGTTGCTACATACAGCCTGAGGATTCTACTCCATAAGGTGTTCCACCTTGACACACAGGGAGGACCTGGCTCAATAGCAGCCAAGTCATCTTCAACAACACCTGTGATAACTCCTTTACAAATCCTATACAGGTATTTCTGATCCCAGGACAGATCTTTCTCCACTTCATCATTAAACACAGGGAAATCAGGGAAACTGACTGGCTGGAAGGCGACAACTGGAAGCTCAGACAAAGACTCCTTGATCTGCTTTCCAATGGGACCACGCCAATGCTCAGGACCACTTGGTTTACCATCATAGTGATAAAAAACTGCGCGGAAAGGCAGCTCATTTCCGTGAAGCTGACATATGAAATAATGGAGCGGGTGACCAAGTAACATTTCAAGATGATGAATGACTCCATTTTCTGATCCTACATTTATATTGGTTCCATCACAACCAACACACACAATGGGCTGCTGGGTTAGATTTTTCTCCACCAGAAACTCGTGAATAGTTTTGGCAATCTGCTTTCCGTGTCCAGTCTTGGGAGTCACATGTGTGAGATATTCATTGCCAGGCTCAACCATGATGACATATTGATCTTTCACCATCATCCTCGAACTCCATTTCTCAGTCTTCTCATTCTTTATCATAACACGAGTGGCGGTCTTCTTACCATCAAAATAGAGTGACGTCAAATTATCTGAACTAGCCATCTCAATTTCTTACCTCTTAAATCGGTATTTTTGTCTCGCATCCCGCAGCTTATGTGGTCCAATAACCTGACTCTTGTCATCCTTTGTGATAATGCCATAGTCAGTTAAGGTGGCAGTAGCAATGGCAGCTCCAGCATAATCACTAATCAAGTATCGGTCACAAGCGGCAGCCAGTGTAGGGAGTCTTGTCCGGTTCTGTGAACTGGTGTCTGTCAGACCCCTTGGATCAGGGACAAAATCAGCATCAGTATTGATGAGAGGAATATCTCTTGAATCATCTGAATTATCCTCAACATAAGGAATATCTCCAGCTACCAGCGGCTGTTTGGCTAGTACTGTAGGTAAATTTAAAAATTTCAGTAGAAAATGCGGCAGACTAAACCTCGACATATCAGCTTCAAATTTGGCATGGAGTCTTAGATATGTATAAGGAACAATGCCTGAAGAGTGCAGCTTTGAGCAAAATTTCACTGCCCCCTAATGTGTAGTCCCAAGGGGAGTGCTTTGAAAGGGACTAAGGCGCCATTGTCCTAGATAAGCAATATTTATTTTAATAGTAAATGGCTGGATACTTTCCAGACAGACTTCGTGTAGCAGGAGTCAACAAAAACATTGGAGAAGAGAGAATTCCACAGCATGGTGCCATTTTACAGGCAAATTTGGTTGATTCAGGCACCCAAGACTCTAGCCTTGGTGTCATTTTACATGCAACTAAGGGTGTTTCAGACCAGTGGCAGATCCATGGAGGGAAGCCTAGACGTGTGCCCCTCCGAAATATAATAATACTTGTATCTTCGTCATATGGTCTGAAAATATTCCTGAAATTAGTCAGATTTAAAAAAAATTCTGGGGAGCTTACAGCCCCTTCACCCCCCAGGAGCTTACAGCCCCCTCCCCCCAGGAGCTTACAGCCCCCTACCCCAGGAGCTTACAGCCCCCTACCCCAGGAGCTTACAGCCCCCTCCCCTAGGAGCTTACAGCCAGCCCCACCCCAGGAGCTTACAGCCCTCCCCAGGAGCTTACAGCCCCTCCCCCCAGGAGCTTACAGCCCCTCCCCCCAGGAGCTTACAGCCCCCCAAGAAGCTTACAGCCCCTTTCCCAGGAGCTTACAGCCCCCTCCCCAGGAGCTTACAGCCCCTCACCCCAGGAGTTTACAGCCCCCTCCCCAGGAGCTTACAGCCTACTCTTCCCCAGGAGCTTACAGCCCCCTCCCCAGGAGCTTACAGCCCCCTTCCCCTGAACTACAGCCTCCCCAGGAGCTTACAGCCCTCCCCCAGAAGCTTACAGCCCCTCCCCCCAGGAGCTACAGCCTCCTCCCCCAGGAAATAACAGCCCCTTCCCCCAGGAGCTTACAGCCCTCCCCCAGGAGCTTACAGCCTCCTTCCCCACAGGAGCTACAGCCTCCTCCTCCCAGGAGCTTACAGCCTCCTCCCCAGGAGCTTACAGCCACTCCCCACCAAGAGCTTGCAGCCCCTCCCCAGGAGCTTACAGTCTCCTCCCCCAGGAGCTTACAGCCCCACCCCAGAAGCTAAACAGCCCCTCCCCACTAGGGTGCTTACAGCCCCTCCCCCAGGAGCTGAAAGACCTTCCACAGGAGCTATAGCTTTCCCCCCAGGAGCTTACAGCCCCTCCCCCCCAGAAGCCAGAGAGCCTCCCCACCAGGTGCCAACCCCCAGGAGCCACAGCCTCCCCCCAGGAGCCCAGCCCCCTCCCCAGGAGCCACAGCCCCCTCCCCCCCAGGAGCCCAGCCCCTCCCCACAGAAGCTTACAGCCCCTTCCCCAGGAGCTTACAGATATATATATATATATATATATATATATATATATATATATATATATATATATATATATATATGTATATATAATGTATGTATTTATGTATATGCTTTTAATACGTTTAATCCCCTGTTGTAGTAATTATTTTGTTCATAGTTTGAGGGTCAAGTAATTACTATAGTGTTGTATCTCTTTATTTATAGGTTGGGATTTAAGGATCTTCCACAATCTGTAGCATTCTTCAGCAGTGTTGACATCGATAAAGTATTACGAAAAGAACCCCATCTTGACTGCATCACTCCATCAAATCCAGAAGGCGTGATGAAAGGTTATGGTATTCCGCCAGGAGTCACACTTGATATACAACAGATATTGAAATTTACTGGTGGAAAACTGAGTAAAAAAGAGGATAATTAAGTTTAGGAGGAAATACATTTATATGCACCATCAAGTGTGTTTAGAATAAAAGAAAGTTTATAAACTAAATTTTGGACAGTTTAATACACGAACAATTATCATGAAAGGACAGCTGTGGTGGTAACTACAGTATAGCATACGACAGGTATAGGATTAAAATGTATCAAATGAAAATAGCCCAGGACTCTATTGAGGCTTTTATTGTCTTCTCACACTGCTTGATGTATTACTGAATAAAGGAATGTGCCATACTGTTCTGACTCAACTTTAGCTCAGGTCACATGCATCATTGTAGTTTACTTGAAATGTCTTATATGACATTGCTTAGTTCATGAACTGTGCAATCAAGAATGTCCTGTTTTCTTTAATAAAAATTCGTGTTTTCTATAAAAAATGAATTTATGTTCAATACGTTACATTATAAATATAAGTTAGATTACCTTACACACAGCACCCCCCAGGACCTTACAGCCACCCTGAGTACCTTGCAGCACCCTCGGGACCTTACAGAACCCCATGGAGACCTTACAGCATGCCCAGGGACCTTACAGCCCCACCCTGGGAAATTATAGCCCTTCCTGGGGACCTTACAGCCCGTCTTTGGGCATCTCAACCCCCCTGGGACCTTACAGCACCCTCTGTGGACCTCCCTCCCTCCACCTACCACCTCTCCCTCCCTCCCTCCACATAGCACCTCTCCCTCCCTCCCACCACGTACCACCTCTCCCTCCCTCCCACCACGTACCACCTCTCCCTCCCTCCCACCACGTACCACCTCTCCCTCC